GCACTATAGCCGAAATTATCTGTAGTCAGGTTTTGTATGACGTTCTATCTTCTGATTTTTGGAGTTTCTTCTCCCTTTTGTCTATCTCACTTTGCTTCCATGTTTCGGATTTTTAAACGTCCTTTGTAAGCGCGAGTACTTTCGTTTGGTCTGTATTATTCTCTGTGTTTATACTGTGTACGTGCTGCTCACTTTCTCTCTGGTCGTTGCACTTAGCCTCCTAATTCTACCGGCCATTACAGAACACTCTAGCCAGCATGGAGTCCTCAGCAACGGCTGCATTAGAGAAAGTTGTGGCCAATGAACAAGCTGTTCTCTCAGGATATGGCAAGGGTCTTGCTAGCCTGAACGATCAGCAGGCAGAGTTGGCGGAGAGAGTCCGCCTTCAGGCGAATTCCATGGAAAGACAGGAAAACGTTCTGTTAACTCTCACTGAGAGTTTTAGAGCCTTGTCCACTCAGATCACAAAAAATGTTGCACAAGCACAATCCGTATACCTTCCCCAAGAGCCAAAACTCCAGTTACCCCCAAGATATGGAGGCGAGGCAGGAAGATGTAAAGATTTCATTGCCAAATGTGAAATATTTTTCAAAGCGCAGCCTTCACAGTTCGTGAATGAAGAGTCTCGGGTTTCATTTATTTTATCCCTGTTGACCGACACAGCACTCACTTGGGTCGGGCCACTTATTCGATCTAATTCACCGGTCGTAAATACAGGGGAGGCTTTCGTTAGAGAAATGGTATCGGTGTTTGATCAGGATGTTTGTGGTCAAGACGCGGCTACACGTTTAATGCATCTAAGGCAGGGCTCTGAGAGTGTCGCTGCATTTTCAATCTCATTTCGCTCTTTGGCGACAGAGACAGGCTGGCCAGAAGCGCCTCTTATGACAGTTTTTGTTCACGCTTTGGCTGAGGAGGTTAAGGATGCTCTGGCTACATTGGAGCCTTTTGTTTCCCTGGATTCGTTGGTTCGCACTGTGGTGCAAATTGATAATCGCATCCGCGAACATAACAGGGAGAAACGTACTGCATTGACTCTTGCTGGCAAAGGGCTAATGCTCCTCGCAGCTTGCATACATCTCCCATTCTGCCCACTGAAAATTCCACTCCTGGCGAGCCTATGCAGGTTGATGGGTCATATGAGAGCCGGGCTCGTAAGCCCGTTCGCAGACGTATAATCTGCTATAATTGTAAAAAATAGAGACATATCCATCCACGCTGCCCTGAGCTTCAGGGAAATGGGAAGTCCCTCTAGCGGTATGGGGGGCGCTAGAGGGACAGACCCAATTTCCCTTCCGAACTTTAATTCCTGTAGAACTGACTGTGGGGAGACAGAGAATATTTATCAAAGCTTTTGTGGACTCTGGCGCCGTGGACTGTTTTATGGATGCAGAGTGGGCTAGGAGACATTCCATTCCCATCCGCCCTCTTTTACATTAACGCACTGTAAGATCTTTGGACGGTCACCCGCTGGGAACTGAATTTATAACCAAAGTCTCTGAATCATTGACTATGTTCATTTCTTTTGGTGGTCATTCTGAGGAGGTCTGGTTTTTTTTATCAGTTCTCCTGTTTCCCCTGTCGTTTTAGGACACTCTTGGCTACGGGAACATAGGCCTCACATCATTTGGGGGAGTCAGAATAACCTGATCGTCCAGTGGGGCACTGATTGTAGGTCCCACTGTAGGGAGAGTTTGGCGTGTCATCCCGCGCATCAACCTATGGGGGAGGCTGACGCCTGGAGTGATTCTGAGGAGGGGTCTCCTCTAATCTAGAGAAAGGGGCGGAGGAGGGGTTGGAGTGAAATCCTCAATTTGACTGGCGGCAGGCAGAGGAGGATTGCTATTCAGAGGATTTCTCTGACTCGGAATCTGACTTAGAGATGGCAGGGTCCGAACAGGGTGAGAATTTGGGGGCTGCTTTGAACTTTTGTCTGCCTCCTAATGTTCCTAACAATTATGCTGATCTCGCGAAGGTTTTTAGCAAGCAACGGGCCTCGACTTTACCTCCTCATCACACGTACGATTGCGAGATCAATCTCCACCCGGGGACCACTCCCCCCAGGGGTTCATTATACTCGCTGTCAGGGCCTGAGTGAGGGGCCATGCGAGAATATATTCAGGGGGCTCTGGCTAATGGATTTATTCGGCCCTCCATGTCTCCTGCAGGAGCGGGGTTCTTTTTTGTGGGCAATAAAGATGGCAGCCTGAGACTCTGTATTGATTACAGGGGCTTGAATAATATCACCATTAAAAACCGATACCCCCTTCCGTTGATGAATTCCACGTTTGAACGTCTGCAGGAGGCGTCATTTTTTACTAAGCTAGACCTCTGGAATGCTTATAACTTGGTTCGGATCCGGGAGGGGGACGAGTGGAAAATGGCATTTAATACACATGACGGGTACTACGAATATTTGGTCATGCCGTTTGGATTGGTTAATGCCCCTTCCGTGTTCCAGGCACTCGTCAATGACGTCCTCTGAGAGATGTTGGAGAGATTCGTCTTTGTCTACCTTAACGATATTCTGTTTTTTTTCTTCAACACTCTCGGAGCATAAACAACACGTCAGACAAGTGTTTGAGGCCCTCCTTTAAAGCCAAGCTTTTTGTCAAGGCTGAAAAATGCGTTTTTCATGTCAAGACAGTTTTGTTTCTTGGCTTCATTGTTTCAGAAGGGTCGGTCCGCATTGATCCTGACAAGGTGGCAGCGGTCAGGGATTGGCCTGCCCCTCAAAACATCAAGGAGGTGCAGCGGTTTTTGGGGTTTGCTAATTTTTATAGGAGGTTTATCCGTAATTTTAGCATGGTAGCTGCCCCCATTATTGCACTTACTAAAAAAAATACCTCCTGGTAGTTTGCTTGGTCTCCAGGAGCTGAAGCTGCTTTTCAGGAGTTGAAGAAACGATTTAGCTCGGAGCCCATTCTTGTTTTGCCCAACCCCTCCCTCCCATTTGTTGTGGAGGTGGATGCGTCGGAAGTCGGGGTGGGTGCCATTTTGTCCCAGCGCCCCCTTCGGGACAGTAAGTTGCACCCATGCACCTACTTCTCCCGGTCGTTGTCAGCGGCCGAATGGAATTACATTGGTGACCGGGAGTTGTTGGTGGTCAAGTTGGCGTTAGAAGAGTGGCGCCATTGGTTGGAGGGGGCTGAACATCTGTTTGTGGTTTGGACGGATCATAAGAATCTCCAATACATCCAACAGACAAAACAACGTAATTCTCGGCAGGCGCGGTGGTTGTTGTTTTTCAACCGCTTTAACTTTACGTTAACCTATCGCCTGGGTTCTGAAAATATCAAGCCCGACGCTTTGTCGCGGATTCACGACTGCTCTGGTCGCGACCCCATTCCTGAGCCGGTTATCCCGGCAGCTCAGATTGTGGCTCCCATTCAGTGGGACATCAAGTCTGTTGTGCGGGAGGCCTTAAGAACTGATCCCGGTCCTGGTGGGGAGCCGCCTGGCTGTTTGTTTGTTCCGTTGGCAGTACGGTCCCAAGTTCTCCAGTGGGGGCACTCTTCCCGTCTGGAAGGTCACCCGGGGGTTCATCGGACTAAGCAGTTCTTGGCCCGACGTTTTTGGTGGCCCAGCATGATTGAGGACATCCGGGAGTTTGTAGCGGCATGCTGTATCTGCGCTAGGAACAAGACTTCCCATCTCCCCCCCTCTGGTCTGCTGCGGCCGTTGCCCGTCCCTAAGCGCCCATGGAGCCATACCCAGCTGGTTGATTGAGCTGGGGTGGCGCTTCCCCAGAATCTATATAAGCAGGATGTCCGGCACGCCTCCTTCGCTAGAGTGTCTGTGTTTAGCTTCGCACTATAGCCGAAGATATCTTTAGTCAGGTTTGGTGTGACTTTCTATCTTCTTATTGTTGGAGTTTCTTCTCCCTTTTTCTATCTCACTCTGCTTCCCTGGTTCGGACTATTATACGTCCTTTGGAAGCGCGAGTATTTGCGTTTGGTCTATATTATTCTCTGTGTTTGTACTGTGTTCCTGCTACTCTCTTTCTCTCCGTCGTTGCGCTTGGCCTCCGTATACTACCGGCCATCACAGAGGCTTCATAAAAAAAGTTCAAAGACTTCATTTTCTTTCAGATGAATAATGCAATACTCCTCCGTGAAAGATTTAATACGCACACAGTTTTCAAGTCGTCAGAGGAGAAAAAAATTTACATTTTTAAAAAAAAAAAGGGGGGGGGGCACAGCTTAGGTAACTAGTTCAAGTGGACAACTTCTGATGTTGGTTCACCCATCAGTAAGGCAGGATATTTTAGCTGCTCTTCTATGCTGCCTTTGTAGCAAAAACACCCCTCTGCCTACTGCTTTGCTGCATCACACCTTGCTGCTGCTAGTTTACATTGGCTGCTGCTGTATCATAATATCTTGACTCTCTTTGCTTTCTGCCCCTCAAGCTCAAGGGGTTTCAGGGAATGTCAGGGTCAGAGCCTAGTTGCCGAACTATGATTTTTATTGCTATTTACATGTGAGTTGGTTCAGTGAAGTGAAAAAAAAACAAAAACTCAATGATAAACTCATGAAAATAGCCGTAACTACTGAGCAGGATTTTTTTTCTACAAGGATTGTTATCTGGTTACATTCAGTGCTACTCTCGAGGTTCCGATAGATGTGCAGCACTTGCAAATAATGGCCCATAGATGGCTAGCAGTCATGGCCATTCCTTTCTTGATCACACTAATTATAAACAACTCATTGTAAAACTTGTAGCATCCAGCTACGAATTATGTGCTCCAGTAATCAGAGAGGCAAAAAGGAAAAGTCTGTCATGACCCAGTGCCTCATCAGGCTAGTACTTAACCCTGGTTTCAGGAGCATGAAGTGACTAGGAGTACTGCTACTCCCCCTGGATGGGATGCTAGTACATTGCAGTTTATCCCCCAGCTCTTAGTCAGGTTTCCCCACCCATTTGCTTGTATCCAATTATACACCAGGATGAAGTGGGGCACTGTGGGAGTAAAGCATTTTTGCCCAAGAACACACCACGAAGGCCATGGCAAGGAATTGAACTTGGGGCCTTTTGATCCCAAGTCAAGTACACCTAACCACTGTGCCACCGGTGCCCACCGCATCCCCCCAGGTAATTAGAGAGCTTAGTGTAAAATCCTGCCATTCTTGTCACCACAGCTGAATTGTCACCATGTTGTGCGTATTAAATGAACTCATTCAAATTCTTATTGGAGACAGAAGTCATAATTTCACACATAAAAATGCGGATGTTTCTTCTGAGTGGCATGTTTGCAGCTGTTCAATCAGGGACTGTGCGAAGACTCCGATAGTGGTGCACTTCCCAGATTGTCTCTTGTGAACACATGCATGGGGAATAATCCAGTGATTGATGCTCATTTATCTGTTGTTCATAATTTTTCAAAAACAAAATGAGAAATATGTGCTCTCTGAAGATCTCGGCAGGAGTCCAAGCATAGCCAGGTATCCATGGCTACTGAGGGATGCTTTGTAGTCCCCGCAAATCAGAATTGTTTTACAGTTGATTACCCGCAAATTAAGCCACCTGACTTCCTACAGATCTGCAGCATTTTAAGCATGCCAATTGGTGATGGAACCTTCCAAGAACACATTCACAGAGTGTGTCACCATGGCAGGCAAAACTATAATGAATATATGGAAGTAAATAAAATACTACAGATAAAAATAGATTTAAAAAGGCTCAAATCCCACTGTATAGAGACCCATACTGGTGTAAGCTGGATTTCCATGAAGCAGCAGGTTTGGCTTGGCCCAGTCATGTTTATCTCTGGGTCTGATGTTGGGAATCCCAGCATTGTGCTAATTTTCAGATTCTATTTTTTTTTTTTTTTTTTGTAATCTTTTGTAAGAATATCTAAGAAGCCTTTTCTTCACGAGAGCTAGAATATCAGGAGCCATGAATCTCTGGTGTCCTTGTAACAGTCATTCAAACATGTTGCTACAGGCACGCTTACTTCATTATTATCTCATATCTCTGGTTATCAAAGTCATGGGGGCATCTTGTATTCACCCCTTTCTCTGAAATAATATGGGAATTATTGAGCTGTACAATTCCCTGACATCAGCATCTCAAGAAATATTGAAACTCCACAGCGGTCTGTGTTCAGTCAGCATTATCAGGTCACTTTACCGGTCAGTGTCTGTTGTTGCAGCCAAGTTCTCTTACTCAATCTCTCTCCTTAAGACATTTCTCCCTCTGTGTTTAATGCTTTCTGACGACTGAGACACATTTCAGATAAATCAGGATGGCTTTCATATTTCAGTCTGAAACGGGCATGAGAATCGGAGGACTGTGGTGACTGCAGTGTGAGACAAAAAGGGCCGAGCTTGTGTCGTCTCTCGAAGTTTAGGATTTAACAGATTCTGGCAGGCAGCCTTCATCACGCTAATGGCTTTTAATGCTGACAGCAGTGCACACTATATTTAAAATGAAGATTTTGGGCTGGCTGTCAGGGGTTAAGAACTCATAAATAGCAGCAAATCTAAGCTTGATAACAGTACAAAGCAGAAGTATATCCATCTGAAGATACCCGCCGGGGAAAATATGAAATCTGTCTGAGCGAGCCAGGCTCATTCAGAGATTAAACTCTCTGCTGATATTGTTGGTTTGAAAGCGAAACAAGTGAAAAGGCCTTAAAAAAGGCTGTCATTAGCTGTGTATCTCAGTCGGGAAGATAATTAACCTGCCACACAGAGTCATTAGAGCAGCGGAACGGAGAGAAAACTGAGAAACACTCAAATTATGGGGCGGTTTCAAACAAAAAGCTTAAATCTTTCCCTCCTGAAATGACTTCCACAAGGGTGCTAATGCCACAATATTTTAAGTGTCTGAGATTATTTTATTTCAGAGCAGCTAATAAAAAGTACCAACATCTGTCTGACATGTTAATCCATGCAACTGCGCTTCTAACCTCCTGCAGCGAGACAGCAAAAAGGTCAAGTTCAGCTGAAAAGCACTTGTCCTATTGGATAACAAGGCTGTCTGTCATTCTGACACATAAACAGGGCCTCCCCAAGGCCATTGTTACTCACTGCTGACAGTTTCCTGCAAAGACTGTTGACAATTTTTTTCCTGGTTTTCTTCAAATCTGTGACCTATTCATCCATGGCATTATGGGAAAATATTTTACCATCTATGTCTTCTTTCTGATCATCAATCAGCCTCCCACCCCATTCACTCCAATCGCCTCCCCAATGCCTGCCCAACAGCCATTAAATCCAAACGCTACTTCATGCTCTCTAAAGGTCATGGGACATCAGCAAGCACAGGTGCGTGTGTGAAGAAGAGTAGAGGGAAATTAACCCGCCGCAGATTCTCTGGATTCGCAAAATCAAAACTTCATGTTCAAATGTAGCCCCATCCCCCTCATTTTAACAAGATCGGGTGTGGGTGGGACTTGCTGACTGTTAATCAGTCAGAGCTGTAGCAGTGACCGCACATGAGCAGGCTTCATCAATACTCTCCAGTGACTTGCATGTGGCTGTTTTTGTGAACACAGTGTATTTTATCATTCACCAAAATCTAAGAGTATCCTCATCGCACATTATTTTGCACTGGTCGGCTTGAATTCAGCAATGTTCGGTTCAGACTCAGTGTGAGTGTTGAATTATGTGTCAGTGCATGTGTGTGTCTCTCCATGGGTTGGATCGGGTTTAAAGCCAGGCACATCAATACTGGAGCGGATCAGTATGTCTGTTTGGATTTTAGTGAGTTTCTCTCTGGTTCTTGGAAATGACTTTATTTAAGGTTAAATAAAAATGAATCCGCAGATGCCGCTGTGGTCGGAAGCCATAGTTTGGGGCATGTTTCTCTGCTTCAGGCATCGTGAGTTCCTATTGGACGTGAGTTCCAGCTCTTCTTCTTCCTTTCCGACTGTCACACAAGCGGTCGCCCCACACAGAGCCCCCGGATTCAGTGCACAACACGCTCGGCTGGCACGTCCGAGCTGGAGACGCGTTTGGCAAACCTCTCCCCTGTTCAGCCTCCACGGCAGCAGATGGTTTCAGATTGAGGTGGAGTGTGTCTCCGAGGCTCCCCACAGCTCTGTATCTTCCGCTGGGTGCTGTTTCTCTATCAGAAATAAAGAACAGGGCAGTGATGCCGGCCCCACAGCTCCGACTGATCACACCAACAAACTGAGCAGCTCAGCCCTACAGTCCAGCAAGAAGCCCAGGGTCTGACAGTAAGAGTCTGTTGTTTCTGACGCCCTTAAACTCAGCTGATTTCACACGAGTTCTGGTGCCTGACTGAGGAAATTATTCTGCAAATGAGTGAATGCAGCTGACTGGAACAAAATTCTGAGGCTGGACTTTTCCATTCTGTGTCTTGATCATACAACCCCAATTCTGAAATAGTTGGGACAAAGTGTAAATTGTGAATAAAATTAAAACGCAATGATTTTCAAATCACACCAGCCAGTATTTTATTCACAATAGAACAGAGATAACATAAAAAATGTTGAAACTGAGAAATTTTACAATTTTATCCACAAAATGAGCTTATTTCAAATTTTATGGCTGCTACGTCTCAAAAAAATTGGGACAGGGGCCTGTTTACCATGGTGTAGCATCCCCTCTTCTTTTTAACACAGAGTGGTGGCGTCTGGGCATTGAGGAGACAAGTTTCTTGAGTTTAGCCATTGGAATTTGATCCCACTCTTGTTTAATACAGGCTTCCAGCTGCTGGAGAGTTTTGGGTCTCCTTTGACGGACTTTTCGTTTAATTATGCACACATGCTCTCAATCGGTGAAAGATCAGGACTGCAGTCAGGCCAGTTCAGCACACGGACTCTTCTACTATGAAGCCATGCTGTTGTAATAGCTGCAGTATGTGGTTTTGCATTGTCCTGCTGAAATACACAAGGCCTTCCCTGGAATAGATGTCATCTGGAGGGGAGCATGTGTTGCTCTAAAACCTCTGTCTACCTTTCAGTATTCATGGTGCTTTTTAAAACATGCAAGTGTCCCACACCATATGTACCAATGCATCCCCATACCATCAGAGATGCTGGCTTTTGAACTGAACGCTGATAACAGGAGGGGTGGTCTTTCTCCTCTTCAGCCTGGAGGACATGATGCCCATGATCTCCAACAATAATGTCAAATTTTGACTTGTCTGACCACAGCACACTTAGCCACTTTGCTACAGTCCATTTTAAATGAGCCTTGGCCCACAGAACACAGCGGCGCTTCTGCATCATGCTCAACAATGGCTTCCTTTTTGCATGATAGAGTTTTAGGTGGCATCTGTGGATGGCACGGTGGACTGTGTTTACTGACAGTGGTTTCTTGAAGTATTCCTGGGCCCATTTAGTAATGTCAATGACAGAATCATGCCGGTGAGTGATGCAGTGTTGAATGAGATTCATTATGTCTCTCATTTTAGAATAAAGGTTTAACTTCTTCTATATCAGACAAGAAAGATATGAAAACATAACTATGTTTTTCTTTTCTTGTCTGATATTGTCATGGTTTAGTCCCGCCGGATGCAACATGCAATCCGGCGGGCACTGGGACCATGTACCCAAAGGCTGATAAGGAGACCCACTTGCATAGGCTGGTACAAAAAATAGAAAGATATTTAATAAATATACTTTAAAAAATGACAAAGAGACAGGGGAGCAGCAGCAACACACACGGAGCTAAAATGCCAGAATGCAGCTCTTAAATACTGTATACTTCACCTCCACTTAAAGGAGCAACAGGTGTGGCTCGTTGAAGTGGAGGCAAAGACAGCAGGAGGGGGGAGGGACTGCAGGGCAGAACCATCACAGTACCCTCCCCCCAAGGCACGCCTCCTGGCGAGCCAGGAAAGGGCCACCCGGAACTATGGCGCCACCGGACCCCGGAACTCACGGCACCAGCCAGACCCTGAACGCATGGCACCAGCCGGACCCGGAACACATGGCACCAGCCGGACCCCGAATGCATGGCACCAGCGGACCTGGAACACTGGAGAACGCCTCCGCCGGACCCGGAGCACACTGGAGAACACCTCCGCCGGACCCGGAGCACACTGGAGAACACCTCCGCCGGACCCGGAACACACTGGAGAACACCTCCGCCGGACCCAAGC